CACACACACACACATACGCAACGGTTGCCCGCCCACTCTCAACCCACCCACCACCTACCCAGGGGATCGACTTCGCCCAGAAGTAGGCATCACCGGCCACACGTCACCTGCCTGACCACCCACCAGGTGGCTCTGCTGGTGGCCCCTCCCCCCGCGTCTCGGCGGCCGCGCACCCGCGGCTGCCCCCGCAATCCATGCGGCCAGCCCGTGAATAACGACAGGCGGCGGCGTCTGCATGTTGGCGCACATTTTTTCGCGTCCGGCATCGCCCTGTGGGCCCTTCATTAGGGGAGTCCTCATCCCCGCACCCTGCAGCAGCCTCACCCACGCGCTGCATGTGTTCGGCTCAAGGCAAGTAAACCTTCCACACACTTGACTCACGACTCATGATAGGGTTGGCCAGCGGCGGGCCAGCGTCAAGCAAGGGGCAGAGGCGGCGCGGTAAGCCAGGGCCTGGGCTGAGCAGGCTTGCATTGGGCAGCTCGTCTGTTTCAACCCCTTGACCCCTGCATCAAGAGTGTCGGTGCTGACCCCTGAGGAGAACAAAACAGCAGAGAGATGTTGGGTGCAGCTGCCATGCAGCCCCGCCGAACATTCGGGGCGTCGCGCGCCGACGCCGTGAGCAGGGCGCTTTGGTCTGTGGATCCAACGTGTTGAAAAAAAGTGCTGACGGGTTGAGCGGCAGAACGAGCCGCCTGGCTGCGCGGGCGAGGGTCAGGCGGCCATGGAGTGTCCGCTGCGTGTCACTCAGGTGTAAGCGTTGGCGCAGCGCGCACGCAGACGGGCGGCACACAGGCGGGCGGCACGCAGGCCGCCTACGCCGTCCGGCCCCAGCAGGCTGCCGGTTGGCCCCGCCGCCATAGGCCGCGACTGCGCAATTGAGGGTGGCGCCGATTCGTGGCGGCCCTGGGTCGCGGGGCGGCGCAGAGTGCTGCACCCGCCCCTGCCGCGCGTTGACCGCGGCACGAGCAGGCGCAGCGCCTCACCAGCGCAGCGCCGAGCACTGCCCGAAGTGCGGTGCGGTCTGCCGCCCCCAGCTAGATCCTGAACCAGCTGCCCTCCTGTTGATTCTGGAGGTCGCATCTCAGGGAATGGAAACAACGGAAAACTCGGGTACACAATCTTGCCAACCACTGGTGGCAACACAGCCTGGCCAGTACACGCACCCGGAACTCAGGTTTGGACTTCGACACGGCGCTGCACCAAAGCCATGGAACGCGCATCAGCCCACTGGTACCATCCGTTCTGCCACTGTCACAACGACCAGCCTGCGTTGAAGCTGGCTAGCTGTTGTTAGCAGCTGTCCGCCGGTAGCTGTGGCCAATCTGGGGTGTGCACTGACCGGCTTATGGTGACGGCGGGCCTTATGGTGACGCCGGGGCAGCTGGTGGGGCGCCGACGTCTTTCACCCCACATTGAGATCGGTGGGCCATGCATGGGCGTGTCGAAAGGTCGACCGAGCGTGATCGCTCAGCAGGGCGGCCCGTCACAACCGTGCCGGCTCGTCAAGCGCGGCGCAGTGCGTGTTGCCTGTTGCGCCGGCTGCCAAGGGAATACAACCTCCCCGCCACCCCGCCCTGCCGCGCGCCACATAACTCTGCCCCCACCGCCGCCACCCGCGCTGCAGGCCCCACTTGCATCGTGAAGGGCTTCACCAGCAACTTCTCCCTGTCAACCGCTGACGGCGCAAACGCCAAGTCAGCATTCGGTTTCAAGATCAGCAAGGCGTCAAAGTCCGCGGCCGCAAACGTCAGGCTCGTCCCCAACGCCAACACGGCAAAGGCGCTCGGCAGCACAATTGTCTGCATCAACCTGCCAGGTGCGCCCGACAGGCCGGCTGGGGGGCCACAGGACGGTGCCAGCTGGCGGTGTGCTGGGGCCCCATGCATGCTTGCACGAGCTCACGATTTGAGCAGTCACAGCGGCATCCCCGCCCCTCAATCAACCACCCTCTGCTTGGTAGTTGCCGCCACCATCATTCACCTCTGCCCCCATTCCTATCCATCCCCGTTGCACCGCAGCCGTCTCCAGCCTTTGCAGCACGGTCGACAGGCTGTGCGGTGCGTCCGCGTGCAAAGTGAATGTGACCACCTCTAAGTTCAAGCCGGCAGGCTTGGTGAAGCCCAAGTCGTTGCCGTGCTGCCTCAAGGGCGCGGTCAACATCCTGCCAGGTGGGCGCGCACACACTACTGCACTCACAGCCACGTCAGGCCAGAGAGACATCATACCGCCATCCTGCAGTATTTTGTGATGGCAACAGCAGGCAGCAGGAGCAGACAGCAACACGAGGAGCATTTGTCGTGAGCAGCAGCGCTTGCAGCAGCAGCAGCAGCAGCAGCAGCAGCAGCAGCAGCAGCAGCAGCAGCAGCAGCAGCAGCAGCAGCAGCAGCATAAACAGCATAAACAGCAGCAACAACAGCAGGAGCATCATGGAAGCCAATCATTGGCCACGATGATCGTGGCCGAGCCTGCTGTCAGCTTTCCTTGCATTCCACAGCCTGGCGCCACTTGACCCCTGACTGCATGCATGTGCAGTGGATTTCACTTCACGGGCATGCATGCATTGTTTTGCCCTCTCCTCAACCTGAGCAGGTTCATCACCCCAAACGACCCTGCTTCAATGGCCCTTGGCCCCCCCTGCTGAGCCGCCTGCCCTGCCCGCTCCCCTCGCAAGTCACGCCTCCCACACACGCCTCCCCACCCTATCCGCCCCCACCCTCGGCCCGCC